CGCCAGTTCCCATTACGTTTCGCCTATGCAGTTACTATTCACAAAGTACAAGGTCTAAGTCTCGATAGAGGCGTAATATCACTTCATAACATATTCCAAGCTGGTCAAGCTTATGTTGTGTTAAGCAGAGTTAAAACATTACAGGGTCTTACAATTCAAGATTTTACGAAAAAAAAACTTATATTGTGATGAGCAATGGATACTTTTTTAAAACCCGAATACGAGACCATATCAACTGATACTAATATAATTTTACACAATGTTCAGGGTTTATCTATTGATATAGAGGATTTACAGAAACACGGGAAAATGTTAGAAGTTGGTATCATTTGTTTAACAGAAACATGGCTAAATAATTCAATAACTCCAGCAAAACTAAAGTTAAATGGTTTCCGTCTTCACCACCATCCTCGAAGCAGCAGCTATGATGACACTAGAGATTTCAAATTTTTGAAAGAAAAGGGGCACGGAGGAGTAGTAGTATATCATAAGCAAAACAAAAATGTCAACATTTTAAAATTGGGAGTTTTAAATATAGAACACGTTGCTTGGAACATTTTGGATAAAAATATTAACGTAATTGTTATCTATAGACCACCCGTTAATCGATTAGATTTATTTCTCCCAATGTTAGAAAGATTATTAGTTGAATTATAAGAATCTGGTTCAGACTATGTTATTATGGGGAATTTCAACCAAAATATCTTGAAGGGTCATTTGTCTATACTAAATTGTTTTCAAAAATTTGGTTTTCAACAACTTGTTCAGCATTACACTACTGAAGGTGGGACACTTTCATGTTTATATCAGTAAAGAAGTTCCGTCACATAATGTTCACATTTCACACATACCTGTATATTATAGCTACTATGAAGCTATTAAAATAACTATACGATAAGTTATATTGATACAAGATTGAATTTACCCTTTGACAAAACATTTCATTTAGCTTGGCTCTTTACTAAAAGTGGTCGAGTCAACACCGGGCTTGAGAGGGTTTGAAGTTCAAAAAAATCTTACAGCTATCAGGCAAAGTATCACGGGCCACGCTCGTAGTTGAAGTTGTTTTAGTACATCTGGTAGGAGTATCAACCATCTGTTCAAGGCCATAAACATTTAAAATATTATCCCATTGTAATGAAAGCGCATGTTTAAAGTCAATATTAAAGTCCCCTGTTAAGAACTAAAGCTGATTATCAAATAGATTATACCAATTAATCAAGGAAGAGGGTGGTCTATAAACAAAACATAAAAAAGGATTGATTGTAATTAGGGGAAATTTGTAACCAGATTGTTTCAATGTTTCCTACTTCTAAGTCTAATCTCCTGTTAAATTTTATATGAGATTTTACATGAACAAGTAGTCCACCACCGTTTTCAACATTATTTCTATCTTTTCGAACAACTTGATAATTGGGAATATGAATGAAGTTGTCGTCTATTTCAGAGTGAAGAAATGTTTCACTGAAACCTACAATGTCAATATGATTAGAGTCATTTTAGATGAATTCTTTAACTTCATCCAGATCATTGAAAAAGCGGTTAATGTTCAAATGACAAATTTTTAATCCTTTTTTTAAAGTTGATTTAAACAATATTTATTACAATGAAAGCATTTGCAATGACATGATATAATTTACAAACGATACAGAAACAAGCTAAGTAGCTTATATTAATCCGCCTCGTGGTATAAGCAATATTGTAATAAAAATAATAATAATAAACAAGTGAATGAATAATCGTGGGGTCCACTGGTATTTTCAATATAATCATTAATTCATAATAATGTAAGCCCGAAATAGCCTTTGGGGGTAGGAGGTTGATTGTTTGATTTCGAACAGTGGAGTGGTTGTTACAATACAAAAGATAATGCTCAGAGTCTTTAAAGATATAACCACATGAACACGCAGGAAGAAGAGATATGTGCATTAGGAATTTATGACCGTTAAGTTTGCTTTTACTGTGGCGTAATCTGGTGTGGATAATTTGATTTTGTCGGTTGCCTGTATAGTAATAATTTGGGACGTCAGATTTTTTAATGATTTTCGATAGGTTTGTCTTGAATTTAGAAACTGACTGTGAATTCTGTGAACTGCCAGGGTGTGTGTTCTATGAATTTACTGCAGATGGTAGAAAAGACAATTTATAGTTCTTAGTGCGCCATGGGATACTACGTAGCATATTGTTATGCCTAAGACTGTAGGGGTTTAATGTCGATACTTTTTGGGGAACGAGAATTTTCAGATATTGAGGTGTTAATCCATTGAACATTTTATAAAATAATATCAGTTTATGTGATAAGCGACGATTATGAAGACTTGTGAAGCCAGATTCTTTATAAAGAATTTCATGGGACGTTCCTCTAACAAGTCCTGTGATAGTTCTAATTGCGTCTAAGTTAAGTTTTTCTAATTTATTCGCGTCGTGTAAACTGCAATTATTCCAAAGTACGTCACAATAATCATAGATAGGTAGGATGAATTGTTTGTAGAGGGTTTCAAGTGATTTTCTCGAAAGTCTGTACTTAAGGCTTCTGAGACAATCTATTAGCTTTGAAGTTTTGGATATTAGATAATTGATGTGAGTGGTCCAGGTGCAGGTTTTATTAAAATATATCCCTAAGTGTTTATGTTCGTCAGAGTCATATAAAGTGGTATTATTAAAACGCAGATTGAAGGAAGATGGTTTTACTTTCCTTGAGAAGGTTATGCATTTAGTTTTCAAAGGGTTGAACGTTACCTTCCACCTTTCAGACCATTGAAATATGGCTTCCAAATCATTATTAAGAATATCACAACTCCTCCCCTCGTCTCCAATAGTGAGATAAAGGGAGGTGTCGTCTGCGAATAATCGAATGTTTGATCTAATATCACATGTGATGTCACTAATATATATCAGAAATAATATTGGCCCGAGGACTGAGCCCTGGGGGACCCCAGCTTTAAGCACTTCTCGTAGGGATGTCTCGCCTTTAATTACTACGCTTTGTTTTCTGTCTCTAAGATAGCTTTCTAAGAGTTTCAGAAGATTTCCTCGTATGCCTATTGAACTGAGCTTATGAATAAGACCATTCAGCCAAACTCTGTTAAATGCTTTACTTATATCAAAGAAGACCATCTTGACTTCGGATCCACAGTCTAGTGATTTTGAAATATCATCAATAAGTTGATATGTCGTAGAATCGTTTTGAGTAAATCCGGATTGATATTGCGATAGTATGTTGTGATCTATAACAAAATTATGGATATGTTTATGAATAACTGCTCAAAAACTTTACCAAGCGAACTTATTAAAGATATTGGTCGATAATTAGAGCAGATACTTGGATCGTCTGTTTTGAATACTGGGACTATGTTCGCACATTTCCAGATATCGGGGAAAGTTGAGTTTTCTTGACAAAAATTAAAAAGTTTTGAAAGCGGATATGAAAGACTATTTGAGCATATTTTCAAGATTCTGTTATTGATAAGATAGGGACCGGTTGCTTTAGTTGTATCTAGAGATTCCAATATGTTTTGGACATCCCGTTGTGTGTAAAAAGGTTGGGCGATTTCAAAGTTATTATAAGTAAGGGGAGGTAATTCATCGTTATCATTTTCAAGGTTAGAAAGTGATACGAAGTGCTTATTAAAAATGTCAGATTTGGTGGAATCTGAGTAGATGATATCTTCACCACATTTGATTGGTGGTATATCTTTAATAGAGTTTCCGTTTTTAGACAAGACATGTTTCAAAAGTTTCCACCAGTGATGATCATTAAATTTGTTTGAATTATTGGTTCATCAAGTTTAGCATAGTATTCTCGTTTAACTCTCCTTATCTCTGAGACTACAATGTTTCTCTGCGCATGAAATAATTTCCAATGGTAATCATCTTTTATGTGTTTCGCAGTTTTGTGTATCCTATTTCGTTTTCTTATGATCTGTCGTAAATAGCCGTTCATCCACTCGGTGTCACGTGGTCTAATCAACACTACCTTATGAGGAACAAATATGTTTATCCCTTCTTGTACTTTGTTCGAAATTTCTCTGGCACAATCATTTACATTACAACTATCAAATATATTATTCCAATCATAATTAATGAAAAAGTTATTAAGCTCCAAAGAGTTTAGGTCGTTGTAATTCCAAACGGTTCTCTGGAATGGTTTTCTGTTTATATTTTGAAAGTTTATTTCGAGTGTTATGGGCGAGTGATCGCTAATTGCACAAGGAAGAACTTTGGAAGATGTCACAACATCTGGACAATTTACTATAGCTAAATCAAGAAGTGAAGATGAAATATCACTAATTCGGGTAGGTTCACTTATCAATTGTCTTAGGTTAAAACGATTTAATAGATGATGAAGGCGACTATTCTGGGTTCTCAAGAAATTTACGTTAAAATCCCCAAGTAGGATAATATTTTTGTTTAAGTCCTTAACGGCCTCAAGACTACTTTCTATTAGGTCCCAGTATGCGTTAGTTGCTGAAGGGGTCTATAAAATACACCAATGACGCAGGTACTTTTATTATGAATGATTTCAGCCCATACACAGTCAAGGTCGTTGATTTGAAGGTCATGTCTAGGCTTGTAAAATATAGAATTTCGTATATATATTGCTACACCTCCCCCCACTTCACCGTTTCTACTGCGTAGAATAGGCGGATGGAAACCATTTATATGAAGTATGTCCAAATCAGGATTTTCATTTAACCAAGTTTCCGAAAATGTCAATACGTTAATATCTGAAAATTCTGCCCTAATTTGGTCTAATTTTGGGATGATTGAACGGGTGTTCAGGTGCAGAAGACTCACTGAGCAGGATTAGGATGGACGTCTCCACAGATGACGAGGATGAATGAAGTGAAATATGAATACATGTGCATTACTAATTAGAGATGTGGCGGGGTAAAACAGGGTGTGAAATAAGATATGATATATACCCTCACTGCGAACGCTGGACGACTTGAATTTTTGTTATGTAAAGAAACATCATACCAGTGGACGAATTCGATAAACTAACACAAAAAGAAAAAAGCCATGTTCTGAAAAATAAAAAAATATATAAATACAATTAGTATTACTGGTTTAAAGTACGCATCAAGCATGTAAGTGATCGCAGAAAAACACAAGAGTAAGATCATAGATTTTAGATATGTTCAATATTTTTGGGGGATTTCCTGCGTCCAAGTTAAACGCCTCACGGACACTACAGGGATTGCGCATGTAACACGATCGCAACAGGTAGACTGGTAGACGAATCCGATGTTTTACCGATTTTGAGAAACAATTCTCAAAGAAATGATGTTTGTTTTATTTGAAAGTACATGCCTAGTAGACTTCATACAAAAAAGTTCTATAGGATCCGGCATGGGGGAATTGTTTATATGGCAGACCGAAATCAAAGAATTCTCCCCTTTTGACTTGAAAATTCCAACTTTCACATTAACGTCTAACCTGTGAAATGATATTTGTTTTATTTGAAAGAACGTGTCTTTTAGACTTTCCTGATAAAAGTATCAAAGATTCCGGCGTTGGGATTTTTTTATCTTAATTTTCAACTTTACGGTGTATATCAAATCATATACTATCCAGGCCAAACAAATTATTAGTTTTCTTATTGCATTGATAATGCTGGTTTTCACTTCCATGTTGTTGGATTTGCTACAGGAAGTTGGGGCCCTTTTTTTCTATATCATGCTTGAGAGGCACTGTTATATTTTGTTTTATTTATATACCAATTTCCCTATATCCGTGCGATGTGCGATATGGTGGTGAAAACATTTATGTCCCGTAATTATCGACAATATATTGTGCGCCGACAATCAGTGCGCATATTATAAATATGGTTTGAAGTGTGTAATAAAAAGTACCAATTGCCATCCACCTGATTGTTGTAACACAAAAGGAGTTTCAATGGTCGAGAAAGTTGTATAGAATTGAAGAAGCATCTTGTTAAATATTCATGAAGCATTGTTTTCACAGAAGCTTTCAGTTGATTCTGTCTGAAAAAACTTCACATTCAGAATGAGAAGGTGTACAATGCTGATCAGAGTGCTATTATCCCGCCATTTTGACCACCATCTTCAATATAAAAATCAACATCTGAATTAGGCTCAGTGACCAGGAAAACATATGATTTGATACATTACATTCATAGCGGGAAAAATATGGATTGAGAGAAAAAAATCCACGCAACCGTCATCTTGAATTGCTATAAAATAAACAAAAGGGTTTCCTTAGGCATGTAATTTAAAAATTTAAAAGTATTTATTTGCGAATTATTTACCAGGTCTGAAGCTTATATGAAAATTATTATTTTATAGTCAAAAGGAGTGAATTATTGGATTTCAATCCGCCATATCCTTTTGAGTCAAATCAAGATTCTTTGAGGCTTTTTGGGGAACTCTACCTGGCATGTTATTTCAATTGAAACACAAATCCCCAGGTATCAGTTCATCTATCAGACTAATATTGGTTTCTGCCCCTTTTATCGATATTCAAGGTAGATTTCAACATGACTTAATCAATAATGAAGATAATACTTCCAAAATCTGTTCCAATTTTATCACGTGAGCAATATTATGATTGTAACCCATATTTCTTCAGTATACAACGGAAGCCTACTGTGGCCATATAACCCTCGACTTCATGAGAACAAAGCAAGAAAAGGCGAGAAAGCAGGGGTAAAAAAAGGCGAGGAAAAAAGCGAAAAAGCTAGGAAAAAGGCGAGATTTAAGTTTAGGTTGCGTTCTAAACTTGTGAGTGGTGAAGCTGTTGCAATAGTACACAACTAGTGATCGCCATAGTGTGAGAGCCCGATAAGTGGCTGTGATTTAAACGCAATAATACATGACACACAAGGACTAACTTAATGAGCCAACGAAAATTTTCTGACCTCACAAAGAATCAACAGTTCGGCACCTGTACCATTAATGGTTAATCTTACATGACGTCCTTGAATAGCAGTTTTACACCAATACAGCTCAGTTGCATCTTTAGTTGGCTGCCCCACATGATAGTAACAAAATACAGCATCATCAATAGTTTCTCCATCTCTGTGGATCTTGATCGAAAAATCATGACACAATCGCGGTGGGTCTGTTGATAAAAATAAATGTTATTTAAATCCTTTAAAAACTAAGAGGACACACGATGTTATTGATTGATAAGATATGTTTACATGGAAATCTGGTTTATGGGTCAAGTTAATGTAATCTATTCTCATTTTTTGAAGTAAGCCACGAGAGTTATTTTTATTAAGTAGCCCCCGAAATTTTTTTCGGAATTTGGCCATATGGGTTTTTAATTGTTCTGCCACCGTCTCCTCTTGTATACTCTGTGAAAATAGTTGAGCGGCATTGAATTTTAATGAAAATTTTTTCAAGAGTTACGTCCCTTGAACTGTTAAATTCATCAGTCAAGTCACTATGTTTTGTTTGTACGTTCCTATGTTTGTCATGTTTGTTGTTTAAGTCGACTCTGGTTTATTCTATTTTTTCTACAACAGTTCCGTTCAATCAATCGTGTCAATATAACAGTGTCATCTCAGATTATCTTTTTTTCCAGAAGTAAAAACAAACATGTCAATAAATTGATTAACATTGGTAGAAGAGGCAACGAGAGAGTTAAGATACAGGTTTTTCAAATTATAATAATATTGATTATCTATCGGGAGTCAGTTCTAATTTCATCAATTTATTAAGCGGCTCACGCTAGGCCTTCTTTGTCATAATGGGTCAAGGTATTAGAACATTTATATATTATCATTTTAGATTTTTGATTTAGTTTAGCTTAATTCAATGGTAATGTAATCCAATAGTATGGTTAATAATTGGTATTATTATGTTAACCTCGATGAGTTTACTTTGATCGGAGACCATACGGAACCTTCTTGTCTTTCAATATAAAAGTTAATCGCCCAGGGCTGTTTCTTGATAAAAACAAGAGACGAACTGTAGGATAACAAACAGCGGAGAGGTTGTCATATTGCTTTACTGTAGGTATTTTCGGCTATCCCAAACTTTGTCAAAGTTTGTACATCGATATTGATATTAGTAGCAAATTAGTTTACCGTAAGAAGGATGTGAAATGGCTACAGCTGAAATGTAATATTCTTGTAACAGATCAACTTCCCACCATGGATGTGATTCTGGAACAGGGGCAGCATATCCTGCCGTGTGACTACAACTTCCCAGAGACGAATCTATACCATCGATACCATCATTAGCCCTTCTCGCTGCTAAATCTGAATACTGACTTATATGTGTAGCTGGTTTGTTAAGTGCCAAATTTCTTCTTCCGCCTTCTGTAAAATATTTCAAGTTCAGAATGATTTTAAGTAATTGTTTCTAATGGTTTTACCTTTCATTTTGACATATAATTGCTTATAACGTAGAACACAATTAATGTGTAGCTATTTCTTGGATAGCGCATTGACATTCGTTACAAATTTACATACCAGATCAGATCAGTGCCAAATTACCAGTTCGGTCAGAAAGTAATCTAACTACGATCAGTGTACAATCTTTTTTTTTTTGACGCTTTGGTCTACAATTGTACTTGAACATGTTTTGTGCCAATGGCCTATCCCAAGGGTATTATTATCTAGTTGCAATACAGAGATATCGTCATTAATTAGGGCCATAGATGTACGGTTGTCCCACAAGCTTTATTCACTTCCCTCTAAATCAATTTTCCTTATTACGACCTTTATTTACCTACCACTTAACATTTCTTACTAACAATAAAATTCACTTACCACAAACTATATTGACTATCAATGCAACGGTCTACCTCAATAATTCGCAATTTTTTCTCTTACTTACCACAAACGACACTTGTTTTTCACAAACTGTATTGACTATCAACGCAAACCTCTACCCCAATAACTCACAATTATTTGTCTTACTTACTGTTACATTATTTAATAGTGATTCGGACTAATGTTATCGACTGTACTTGTGGTCTGAATCAACATAAACTCCGGGTGTTTCCCCTAACCTACGAACGCCATTTTATCCAGTGCTTGTGCACGCCCTTGACAGTCCACCTTTTGTATTCATACCTATTGTATCTAAGTTGCTGTTCTCCATACTATTGTTAGTTTCAAACTTACCACTGTTATTCTGACTCCATACATACTACTGTTAGCTTCATACTTACCACTGTTATTCTGACTCCATACATACTACTGTTAGCTTCATACTTACCACTGTTACCCTGTCTCCATACTACTGTCAGCTACATACTTACAATTGTTATACGGACTCCATGCTGCTGTTAGCTTTAACTGTTAATAACCACTGTTATTTCTGAACTTCATACTACTGTTAGTTTCAAACCCACAATTATCATGACTCCATACTACTGTTAGCTTCATACTTACCACTGTTACTCTGACCCCATACTACTGTTAGCTTCAAACTGACCATTGTTACCCTGACTCCATACTACTGTTAGTTTCAAACCCACAATTATCATGACTCCATACTACTGTTAGCTTCATACTTACCACTGTTACTCTGACCCCATACTACTGTTAGCTTCAAACTGACCATTGTTACCCTGACTCCATACTACTGTTAGCTTCAAACTTACCACTGTTATTCTGACTCCATACTATTGTTAGCTTCAAACTTACCACTGTTACTTTGACTCCATATTAATGTTAGCTTCATACTCACAATTGTTATACGGACTGCTTGCTGCTGTTAGCTTCAACTTACCACTGTTATTTCTGAACTCCATACTACTGTTAGTTTCAAACCCACAATTATCCTGACCCCATACTACTGTTAGCTTCATACTTACCACTAATATTCTGACTCCATACTACTGTTAGCTTCATACTTACCATTGTTACCCTGTCTCCATACTACTGTTAGCCTCATACTTACTACTCTACACTACTTTTAGTTTTGTAACTCCACACGATGGGTCTCATTCATTCACTCATTTATCTTTTTTTTCTCATTTTAAGAGACTCATGTCTATCATACGACCCACGGTACCACACATTTATCTTTTTCTAGATCTCTCTGTTCACACCCCTTTCCTACCACTCTCTTTATAATGTTACCATGTTATTTAGTATTAAAAACCAGGACTCAAATATATTTACTTATTGCCCTATTCTGTTTATTTCTAATTTTAATTTGTTTCATGAAATATATCTGTAAACATTGACCTTTGTCCAGCGAGGCAGATTCAAATAATCATTATGCTTCTTTCTGTATCGCATATATGTACATTGTAAAATTTATCTGTAAATAAAGAAATACTGTTTTAAAAAAAAATTAAACCTTAATTCCCTATGATTTGTCAATCATACAATCATAACACTTACCTCTTGTTTATCACAAAATGTGGTTATTAACAACAACTGTCCTTTATTACCACATACTTGAAAAACTTCATTTACCTCAAGGAACAGATGCGTCCATTCCGGGATTAAATCATACCATGGTCTCAGAAACGTGAATTGTTCCGCTAAACTAATCGTTAATTATGTTCACAGCTTACCGTTAAGAATTGGGCCTTCAAATCCAAGTGTATCCATAATTATCAATGATTGTAAGTTATTTCAGCGAGACGTCATTTTAAGAGACTATTTTGAATATCCGTTGATAACGTCATGTGTATACAGTAGGTGCTCATCAACAAGAAGTTCAACTTTCGAATACCCCAGGTTTTAGAAAGAAGGTTAGTTTGTGAGAAAAACAAAAATTTAAATTTCTTGAGGTATATTTGAAGGAATTGTGCGTTTTGTGACAAGCTTTAGTAGTTCTGAAGACTAAAAAAAAAGGCCCAGACCAACCCCCTCGGAAATGCCGCCACTGCCCATTTAATTCATACGTCTATAACTTACCACAAAACTTTTCCAATCTACCAGCAATCTTCACTTCAAAAACTTTACCTACAATAAACTACATTTACATATCACATTTTTCCCTTGCTTACCATAAACTTCCACCAACTTTACTTATTTACCACAACTATACTTATTGTGGGACTTTGCTTTCAGCAAAGTCCCAGTTTGTTATCGAATTGTCAATTCTTTTTTTTTTTTTTTTTTTCGATTTTTACACACCTTCCTGAGCTTAGACTACAATAGTTGCAGCAACCATTCAACATTCACGAACCTTAGATATAGGCGACGATGTGCATAAATATATTTTGGATCTTTTTTGCAAAACCGGAAGTGCCACAGTTCAATATATGCAAGAATAGATAATCGGCTCTAGAAGTCGTATTTTTCGGTCGATTTTCTTTGGGTTTGCATTTTTGGAATCTACTGGCAAAATCTGAAAGAATAGCAGTTTCAAAATTTCAAAATTCGAAAATTTGTCGCAGACATTTTTTTTGCCAAATTTTGCATTTTTTTCATTTTTTTTGCTTTTTGTCTGATTAATCTGAAAAAAATTGAGCAAAGACAGTTTAAGAATGTAAACGAAATGGTACAGTCAAATTTTCAATTTCACTTCCGGTTTAAACAGGAAAACGATGTTCACTTCCGGTTGAATATCTTCCGGTGTAATTTGTATAGGACAAAAATTTTTATGCTGATAGGTAGACAAAGTTATGACAAAAAAACGAAGAAAAAAAAATCCGGAACACACGTGAAATTTTGGCCGCCATTTTGATTTTTCTGAAATGATTCGATTTTTATTCAG